TAGCCTATCCCTTCTCCAGTGGATCTTCCCGACCCAGGAATCGAACCAGGGTCTCCTGCACTGCAGGCGGATTCTTTACCAACTGAGCTATCAAGGATGTCCTGGCAAAGTGATGTCTCTGAATTTTATTTTCTTGGGCTCCAAAATCACTGCAGATGATGACTGCAGTTGTGAAATTAAAAGATGCTTGCTCCTTGTATAAAAATATGCTGTCTAGATTGGTCATAGCTATTCACTCAAGGAGCAAGCATCTTTTAATTTCACAACTGCAGTCATCATCTGCAGTGATTTTGGAGCCCAAGAAAATAAAATTCAGAGACATCACTTTGCCAGGACATCCTTGATAGCTCAGTTGGTAAAGAATCCGCCTGCAGTGCAGGAGACCCTGGTTCGATTCCTGGGTCGGGAAGATCCACTGGAGAAGGGATAGGCTACCCACTTCAGTATTCTTGGGCTTCCCTTGTGGCTCAGATGGTAAAGAATCTGCCTTCAATGTGGGATACCTGGGTTCAATCCCTGGATTAGAAAGGTCCCCTGGAGAAGGGAAAGGCTACCCATTCCAGTATTCTGCCCTGGAGAATTCCATGGACTCTATAGTCCATGGGTCTGCAAAGAGTCGGACACGATTGAATGACTTTCACTCATTCACTCACTTTGCTGACAAAGGTCCATATATTCAAAGCTATGGATTTCCTGGTAGTCATGTATGGATGTGAGAGTTGGACTGTAAGGAAAGCTGAGTGCCAAAAAATTGATGCTTTTGAACTGTCCTGTTGGAGAAGACTCTTGAGAGTCCCTTGGACTGTATGGAGATCAAACCAGTCAATCCTAAAGGAAATCAGTCCTGAATATTCATTGGAATGACAGACGCTGAAGCGGAAACTCCAATACCTGGAGGCCACTTGATGCGAAGAACTGCTTCATTGGAAAAGACCCTAATGCTGGGAAAGATTGAAGGCAGGAAGAGAAGGGGATAACAGAAGATGAGATGGCTGGATGGCATTACCAATTTGATGGACATGAGTTGAGTAAGCTCTGGGAGTTGGTGATGGACAGGGAAGACTGGTGTGCTGCAGTCCGTGGAGTCGCAGAGAGTCAAATACAACTAAGCAACTGAACTGAAGTAGTTGTTTCTTTGGGGCGTGGGGGAGTGAGGGAGTGGGGCTGGAAGAAATGGCTCTGTATGTAGCTTAGATTCAATGTGTCCGTGGAAGGAAGTGCGTTCAGAATCCTCCTGCATTGCCATCTTTAAGTGCAGCCTATGGAATTTTGAAATAGTGGAGAAATACAGTTTAAATATGTTTGTTTAAAATGAGAAGCTAATTACTGGAGAAATGGAGACAGATGGAAGAACATCAGAATAAAAAAGAGTGGGGATATCACAGAACAAGATTGGGAAAAAGTGAAATAACACTTCTACATAAACAGTAAACATAAAAAGTAAGGAATGAATCCTGCTTAGCAATTAATATATTAAATTTTATAAAAAGGAATATTCAAGGAATATCAAATTGAGAAGAAAAAAAATCTACATATTTTTCAGGAAACATGTAGAACAATCATAATAAAGGTTGAAAATAAAGACAGGAAAAGATATATATATATATATATATATATATATATATATATGAAGGAAATTGTAGTAGGGCAAGCACAGTATAAATGCACTAAAATGCCCATTTAGAAAAGAGAAGAGGAGACAGAAACTTATTGATCCATACCAGTTGTGAACACTTGCTGAACTGGAGGATGGGGGAAATTCCTTGAATTATTAAGTTGTTTTTTTTTTCTATTTGGTCTGGTCTTCTTTTTCTATTATTCTCTAATCAGCAGATCTGAAGTTTGTATAGGAGTATAGCTTTTGCAGCTTGTGGGTTTCTGGTGCACATTTGGAGCTGGAATGGGTTAAGAACTGAATATACAAGAATTTTTTAAATGGTTGAATAATAGGGTTAGAGAAGAGGCTGTGCTCTATAAAGTTATTCAGGACCCTGAGCTGGTAGGGACTCTGCTGTCTTTAACTGGTAGGCTTCCATGTTTGCACTGTATGTTGATAGCAGAGGGGAAAGAAAATGGAGGATTATGGAGAAAAATTTTATAGTCAAGACTGGTAGTGGTGTTCACCACTTTTGCCCATGACCAGAACTTAAATAGCTCATTCTAATCAACTCCAAGGAAGACTAAGAAATGAAGTTTAGCTGTATGCCTAAGAGAAACAGATTCAGTGAGCAGCTAGACAGTTACTCTTTTATACTACCTATCTATCTAAAAAACTATATCCTACCAACAGAGAATATTTATTTTCTATAAGTCCATGGTACATTTACAAACATAATTCATATAGTAAGCCATAAAAAGCTGTAAGATCCTCATCTTAAAAGATTCATAGCCACATTCTCTAATAAAAATTCATTTAAGTAGAGATGAACAGCAGCAACAAAAGGTGCTTAACTTCCCTTCTTGTTGTTGCTATTCAGTTACTAAGTCATGTCCAACTCTTTAGCGACCCCATGGACTGTAGCCCGCCAGGCTCCTCTGTCCATGGGATTTCCCAGGCAAGAATACTAGAGTGGGTTGCCGTTTCCTTCTCCAGAGGATCTTCTTGACCCAGGGATTGAACCCTTGTCTCCTGCCTTGAAGGTGAATTTTTTACCACTGAGCCATCAGGGAAGCCCTAACCTCCCTTACCTTGTTGGAAATTAAGAAATATTGAGGGTTTAACAAAGAAAAAGAAAAAAAAATGCAAATTACATAAAAACTGATGAAAATCAAAACCAGTGGTGTATTCTACAGAAAATTTATACCTTTAAGAGCTTTTATTATTAAAAAACAAATCTGAAATTAAATGAACTGATATCCAACTTTAGAAATTAAAAAGAGAATAATGAAATAGATATCCAAATTGCTTTAATATCTTTGTCTTTTTTCAACTGCATTTACTAAGATTACCCAAAGTCTCTCCTTTTTGTCACTAATTTATTTCCTGGCAAGTGTATGTTCTGTTGCTTTCTGGTTCTAAACCAATTTAAATTTTGTTTCAATTACTGTTCATCAGAGGTAAATTTTTCTTTGCGGTTTTATAATTATCTTTGTTCAATTAAAGTAATATGAAAGACAAGTGCTATAAGTTGAATTGGTGTGGTTAAAAGGTAGTTATAAGTAAATATTATGGTATTTACTTGGGAGCTGTTAAAATTTTGTTTTTCTTCTAGATTCTGATAGAAGGAGGACTGTGTTCTTTCAAAGGCGGGACAACATCTAAGAAAACCTGTCAGTGTAACTATAAGTGAATTTTATTCCTTTAAAAATAACATTTCAACAGAAATCAGTTAAATTTTGAATCTTTTTTTCTTTTTTTTTTTTTAAATTTGGATGTTCCAGAATTAATTCCAGCACACAGGAATTAGTGCTGTTTTTAGTGCTGCTTTTAGTGTGGCAGGTGGGATCTAGTTCCCTGACCAAACCCAGACCCCCTGCACTATGAGTCTGGACTCAGTCACTGGACCACCAGTGAGAAATCCCCAGAAATCAGTTAAATTTTAAGTTTTGTTTTTTTCTTAGAGTTTTGCCAGCAAATGTATTTTATAAGTATCTTAGAATATATTGCATAATTGGCCCCTTAAAATTAACTTCATCTTTTATAAAATGTTATAAAAGATGATATATATAATATATATGTACTGCTTAGTGAATGATTAAAAAAAAAAACATACCTTTTATCCCCTTGTTTGTAGTTTAAGAAGTAATACATAATCAATACTTTTGAATACCTTCTCTCTTGTATTTCCTATCCTGCCCTCTAGAGGTAACTCTTATCCTGAATTTCATTTTTGTGATAGCACATGGAGACTTCTCCAATAGCTTGGTTTTGAGCTTTCTACGACAAATTGAGGCAAGATCTCTAGGTTTTTCTGTAACTTACTTTTGTGTGTGTGTGTTCACCTAGAAATACGTTTTGAGATTCAATCACGCTGACACTTGTGACTCTAATACATTTCATCATTTATTTTCTGCTATACAGCCTTCCATTGTATGAATGTAACACAATTTGTACATCTTTTGGTGATGATTATTTAAGTTGTTTTGAATATTTTGCTATGATAAACAATGCTACTTTAGCAAATCTTGACACTTCTCCTGGCACACATGTATAAAAAATTCTTCTAGGATTTATTTCTAGAAGTAGAATTGGCTAGTCAATATGAAATGTACTCTTCTGTGCTGTGCTTAGTCACTCAGTCATGTCCAGCTGTCTGCAGTCCCATGGACTGTAGCATGCCAGGCTCTTATGTCCATGGGGATTCTCCAGGCAAGAACACTGGAGTGGGTTGCCATGCCTCCTCCAGGGGATCTCCCCAACCCAGGATTGAACCCAGGTCTCCCACGTTGCAGGGGGATTCTCTACTGTCTGAGCCACCGGGGAAGCCCAGGAATACGAGTGGGTAACGTATCCCTTCTCAATGGGATCTTCTGACCCAGGAATTGAACCAGGGTCTCCTGCTTTGCAGGTGGATTCTTTACCAGCTGAGCTACCAGGGAAGCCCACAATAAAGCATGAAAGTGTATAAATGCACATATATGTGTGTCTTGTTTCCCTGCCCTTCTCACTCTAAATGTAACATAGGATATCTTAATACAGTGTATTTTATACATAAATTAAATAGATTTATTTAATAAGTTTTCTGTAAGTTTCCTTATGTTCAGTTCAGTTCAGTCACTCAGTCGTGTCCAACTCTTTGCAACCCCATGAATTGCAGCATGCCAGGCCTCCCTGTCCTTATGTTAGTATTAGGCATTTATTAATCCTTTATTTATGCCCATTTAGTAATCCATTATGTGGATGATCTATAGTTTACTCAGACAGTGCCCTGTTGTTGGCAATTTGAATTGTTTCTGGTATCTCATTTTTACAGTGTTCAGTGAACAACTTTGAGCACATATTTCTTAATTGTAGAGGTGCACTTTCAGAATAATTTCTAGAAATGGGATTGCTGAATGAAAGAGGAGATACACTGTGGAGTTTTTGTGGGTTTTGTTTTGTTTTGTTTTTTGATAGTTATTGCCAAAATCTGTTTTTGATAGAGATTGTTGAATTCCCCATTGCATCATTTTGCAATCCTATCATAAATGTGATTTTTATTCCACAGCCTCACTAATAGTGATTGTAGTCCAACTTAGGAATTTTTGTGAATCTTATAAAAATAGAAAGATGGAAGTTTCAGTTTGTATTTCCTTTTCTTGCGTGAAGTTGAGCATCTTTTAAAAATGTGTAATGGTTATTTGTGATTTTTTTTTTTTCCTGTGAACTTCATTTGCATCCTTAGGAGCATTGAGTTTTTACACGTTTTTCTTGATATTTAAGAGTTCTTTATATATTAAAGAAATTTAGGTCTTTGTGATGTGTCACAAATATTTTCACCTAGTTTATTATTAATTTTTGATTTGTTTGTTTTTACTTTGCTTATGGTATTTCCTGCTTTGCAAAAGGCTGAACATGTTTTATGTAGTTAATATTATCAATCTTATCTTTTATACTTTTGGATTTAATTAGAAAGATTCATTACACTCCCTGGTTACAAATGAATTCACTTATATTTTCTTCTAGTATTGGTATGATTTTGTATTTTTTTGCAGTGAGAATTTATCCTGATTTAGGAGTTTATCCTGATTCAAGTTTTTAAAAATGCATCTTTCCCCTAGATATTTGTAATACTACCTTCTTGTGTCAATTTTCTACATATACTTTAGTCTGTTCTGGGGCTTTCTTTACCATTCCATTGAGCTTTCCTATTTCACATGTGCTAATATCACATTATTTTTATTATAATTACTTTATACTATGAAGGAAATGGCAACCCACTCCAGTATTCTTGCTGGGAAATCCCGTGGACAGAGGAACCTAGCAGGCTACAGTTCATGGGGTTCCAAAAGAATCAGATACAACTTAGCAATTAAACAGCCACAACAATGTTTAATTTCTAAGAGTTACACCTCCCTTTGCACTTTTTAAAGATTTTTCTGATTAGTTTTAATTATTTTTATATATAACTTTAAAATCAACTGTGTAACTCCAAAGAAAAGGGTTTTTTGGGGAGAAAAGAGACCATGTGGCAAGTGGGATCTTAATTCCCCAACCAGGGACTGAACCTGTGCCCTCTACAGTGGAAGTGGAAGCATGGAGTCTTAACTGCTGGACCACCAAGGAAATCCTGCCAAGAAAATGTGTTCATTTTTATTCATTCAGTCACTTTGTCTACTCTTTGTGACCCCATGGACTGCAGCACACCAGACTTCCCTGTCCCTCACCAACTCCTGGAGTTTGCCCCAAGTTCATGTCTGTTAAATTGGTGATGCCATCCAACCATCTCATCTCTGTCACCCTCTTCTCCTTCTACCTTCAATCTTTCCCAGCATCAGAGTCTTTTCCAGTGAGTCAGCTGACCAAAATGTTGGAGCTTCAGCTTCAGCATCGGTCCTTCCAAAAAGTATTCAGGGTTGATCTCCTTTAAGATTGACTGGCTTGATCTCTTTGTTTTCCAAAGGACTTTCAAGAGCCTTCTCCAGCACTACAGTTCAAAAGCATCAGTTCTTCAGTGATTCAGCTTTCTTTATGGTTCAACTCTCACATTCATACATGACTACTGGAAAAACCATAGCTTTGAATATATGGACCTTTGTCAGCAAATTGATGTCTTTGCTTAACATACTTATCTAGGTTTGTCATAGCTTTCCTGCCAACAAGCAATTGTCTTCTAATTTCATGGCTGCTGTCTCCATCTGCAGTGATTTTAGAGCCCAAGAAGAGGAACTCTGTCACTGCTTCTACCTTTTCCATATGCCATGATCTTAGCTTTTTTTTTTTAATACTGAGTTTTAAGCCAGCTTTTTCACTCTTCCCCTTCACCCTCATCAAGAGACTCTTTAGTTCCTCTCATTTTCTGCCATTGAAGTGGTATCATCTGCATATCTGAGGTTGTTGGTATTTCTCCCAGCAGTATTGATTCCAGCTTGTAACTCATCCAGCCCAGCATTTTGCATGATATGCTTTGCATATAAGTTAAACAGGGTGACAATAAATTCAGCCCTGTCATGCTCCTTTCTCAATCCTGAGCCAGTCAATTTTTCCATAGAGGCTTCTAACTGTTGCTTCTTGACCCACATTCAGTTTTCTCAGGAGACAGGTAAGGTGGTCTGGTCTCACCATCTCTTTAAGAGTTTTCTTTGTTTTGTTATGATCCACACAGCCTAGCTTGGAGGGTTTTGAGCATAACCTTACCAGCATGGGAGATGAGCACAGTTGTCCAGTAGTTTGAACATTCTTTAGTACTGCTATTCTTTGGGATTGAGATGAGGATGACGTTTTCCAGTCCTGTGGGTACTGCTGGGTTTTCCAAATTTGCTGACAGCTAAGAGTATACATTAATTAAGTGTGACTTGTCATCCTAATGATGTTGACTAGTACTATCTAAGAAGAAGGATTATTTTATTAATTCAGTCTAATTTTGTATCTATAATAGCTGTTTAAAATTCCTTTATGCACTTTAAAGTTTTTCTCAAGTAGATTCTGAATGTCTCTTAGATTCAGCTGTAGGTACTTTAATTGTTTTTGTTGCTGCTTTAGTCTGAATGTACATCCCATGTTTCTGCATTGAATCTGGATTTTGGACACAAGCACATATGTGTTATTTTACTGAAAGGACTTTTTAGGAGGTGATTTTGAGTCAGTAACTTGGGAAAGAGTATTGGCATCTATGGAAATGATTATTATTTTTCCCTCATATATCTTTTTTTATACCCCAAACACATACCATAAAATTCGCCCTTTCAACAGTTTCAAAGAGTAAGGTATACCTATCTTCCCTTCAGCCTTTGGTAGCCACAATTCTGTTTCTGTGAGTTTGAATATTTTATATATCTTATATAAGTGTGATCATATAATATTTATCTTTTTGTGATTTATTTCGCTTAGTATAAAGTCTTTAAGGTTCATCCAGGTTGTAGCATACAACAGGATTTCCTTCTTTTATAATGCTGAAAAATATTCCATTGCATGTATAAACCACATTTTGTGTATCCATTCATTTGTTAATAGACATTTAGGTTGCTTTGACCTCTTGGTTATTGTAATATTGCAGTGAATATAGGTGTGCAAATATTTCTTCAAGATTCCATTTTCAGTTCTTTTGAATGTATCCCAAGAGATGGAATTGCTGGATCACATGGAAGTTCTACTTTAAAATTTTATTTATTTGTTTGGCTGCACTTGGTCTTCACTGCTGTGTGTGGGCTTTCTCTAGTTGTGACAAGTGGGAGCTTCTCAAGTTGCAGTGTGTGGGCTTCTCATTGTGACGGCTTCTCTTGTTGTAGAGTACAGTCTCTAGGTATGGGAGCTTCAGTTCTTGTGGTACACAGGCTTAGTTGCTCCACAGCTTGTGGAATCTTCTCAGACAGGAGTTCAATCCTAGATTGGCAGATGGATTCTTCACCACTAGACCACCAGGAAAGTCCCTATTTTAAAATTTTTGAAGAATGTTCATACTGTTTTCCATATCAGCTATACCATTGTGCACTCCCAGTAATAATGCACCAGGGCTCCAATTTCTTGAAATCTGTACCACTTATTATTATCATTTTTTTCAATAAGTGGCCATTTTAATGAGTGTGAGGTGATATATAATTGTGGTGTAGGTCTTTTAAAATAGTGAATTTTGCCTAAGGATTTTGTGATATGGACCATTCTGCTACTGCTAAGTCACCTCAGTCGTGTCCGACTCTGTGCAACCCCATAGACGGCAGCCCACCAGGCTCCCCCGTCCCTGGGATTCTCCAGGCAAGAACACTGGAGTGGGTTGCCATTTCCTTCTCCAATGCAAGAAAGTGAAAAGTGAAAGTGAAGTCGCTCAGTCGTGTCTGACTCTAAGCGACCCCATGGACTACAGCCTACCAGGCTTCTCCATCCATGGGATTTTCCAGGCAAGAGTACTGGAGTGGGGTGCCATTGCCTTCTCTGTCCCATTCTAGCATTCCTAAAATAAATCCCACCAAATCATGATGATTTATGATTAAGTTTGCTCTTATTTTTTAATTTTATATTTTTAAAATTTTAACTCATATACAATTTTTGCATTGATGCTGTTGGTGAGATTGGCCTGTATAAAATATGTGTGTGTATGTGCATGTGTAATCTTTCTCACATTTTGGAATTAATGTTCTATCAGATTGCCAGAATTTTTTTAAGTTTATAATAAAAATTGAGGGTATTTAAAAACTGTCTTGAAATTTGAATCACTTGCCTCTTCAATCAAATCTCACTGTTTCATTGTAGATCTTCATCACCTCATAACTTGATTGTTGAGTTAATCTCCCAATGATCTATGTTTTCATACATTTTACCCTTCTTTAATTCATCCCCAGTTAGATGCCTTGGTAGGCAGTCTAAAATTTCCTGAGTATTAAAGTGCACCTCTACAATCTCTTTTCCCCCATCACATACACTATTTTTCATCTTGTCTTTTGGGAACTTGCTTATTCATCTTATAAAACCTACTCTTTATCTTGTGCTTTCTTTATTACTATTCACCAAATCTCTTTCCCTAGAACTCATCACACTTAGGTCTCTACTGCTTTTGTATCTTCTATCACTTTTACTGTTGCACCTAACTTTGTGACTATTTTTAAAAACTGTATGTGTTTTTCCTCATCTCAAAATGCTGAATCCTTTGAGCATTATGGCCATGTATTCCTAAAAACTATTACAGTGCCTTAGATAAGGTAATAACTCAAGTCTTAAATTTACATTTTAATCTACATTCATTTAACAGACATTTATCTTCTCTACTAATAACTGTGGGTTTACTGTACTTATGAATTGAATGGACCTTATTGTGGGGGAATGCCCTTAGTTCATGTTGTTAGTAAAATCCTACCATTCATTCTGCTCTCTGCTTTCCACTGTTAAGAAGAACCTTTGTGAGGATATACATTCCTTCTAGAATGATAAACTGAGGGTAACTGAATTTACCTAAGTTCTCCCTGCCTCTCAGCTGACTGACAGGTTCTGTTACAGAAGGTGCCAAATCCAATCTGAAGTATGAATAGTAGTCATGGTCTGCTGTATATTGGAAGGCGTGTGATTTATTTATGTTGTTGCACCACATTCCATTACCTTTTGCTTTTTTTTTAATAGCAAAATCACTTTTACAAGCAAGAAGAGAAATGGTTGAACCTACTGTTCATCTATATATAGTATTGTATTTATGCGTTCTAGGGAGTCATGACCTACTTATGAGGCCCATTTTTAAACTTTTCTTGGAATCATAAGAGAACATATTAAGCAGATAATGAATAACATACCAGGTTCTTTGAGTTAATTTTTGAAATACAGTTTTTTAAAAAAATAAATTTAACAGTGTTGCAGTCATCAAATGTCAAAAGATATATTTTTATATTAATTTTGAATTCATGAATAGCTTTAAAATTCTACAGTTATGAAATCATATTATAGGTTAAATATTGTTTCAATTGTATGATGAAGCTTCATTTACTAAATTAGCAAATGTCTGATACCTTGGCTTGTTGTTCTTCCTTTGGATTGACATTTTGTTTGTTCATAAAGATTCATTATTTTGGAAAAAATCAGTTCAATTTCTCTGTTCTCCTTTCTTCCCTTATGTTTCCTCCCCTTGTTTTACTTGTAAATACACATGTTTTATGTTGTTGTTTTAGTCACTAAGTAGTGTCCAACTCTCTTGTGACCCCATGGACTATAGCCCGCCAGGTTCCTTTGTCCATAGGATGTCCCAAACAAGAATACTGGAGTGGGTTGTCATTCCTTCTCTAGAGGATCTTCCTGACTCAATGATAGAACCTGCATGTCTTGCATTGGCAGGCAGATACATGGAGAATAAATCCAAAATACCCTGTCAAAAATGCAAGCTGCCACATATCCAAAATTTTAACTTTTAAAATGTTCTATAGTATGTTAACTGAACTTATTTACCAGCAGCTATTTTCTGCTTGTGTATATATAATCTAGTCTTCACAAATTAGCAAATGTGTGGTACTTTAATAAACTTGGCAAATTAAATCTTTATTTTCAGATCTTGATTCTTCACAGAGTAGTCAGTGTTCCAGTTACTCTCCAAGGCCAACAGATAGTTGTTTCAGTTCTAGTACAGAGATGGTAAGTTATGTTCTTTTTTTGCTGGTTAACATATGCTGTGCTGATTTAGAATAATTTGTATTTCTCATAGTTTACCTTTTCATTCTGAAAAAAAAAGTTGAGATAATACTGAAAATAAATGTAAATAAAAATGTGAAAATTTAAGAATGTAAATTAAAATGTGAGCATCATTCATTCACGTTTATGAAGCATCATTCATTCATTCATGTTTATAACATGTTCATTGTTATTTACAAAACACACTCATATTAAGTTGTGTGTATATATATGGTAAATGCGTGTTTCTTTTAAAGGAGTTTTTAGAAGAACCCATTCACAATAATTGAAAACGTTAAACAACCAATAATACATACAAAGTCTCAAGGCTTAGTAAAGAAAACTATAAAATATAATCTGAATAATGGGAGTGACATGTTTAATGCTGAGTGGAAACTATAATCTGAATAATTGGAGTTGCATCATATTCTGAGTGCATTTCTCACAAATCACATGTTTAAATGGAGTTCTCCATTAATTTTTCCTTCTTCCTTTCATCTATCTTTTGTCTCTAGCTTGCTATCCAAACTGCTCTTGCTAAGGAAGGACACCAGTGACCTCTAATGGTGCCAAATTCATTGGGCAGTTTTGAGTTTTTATTTTACAAGAATTTCTAGCAATATTAATAGAAATAATTATTTTCTTTTCTTTAAACATTTTCTTCTATTTGCTTTTGTGATGCACACTATCTTAGTTTCCTTCATACCTCTCTGTATGCTACTTTATGCCTCTGCCCACTTCTCGTCCACCTTTCCCTGCATATAAGTGTTGTAATGTTTAGGGTTTGCTTCAGGACCCTTCTCTTCTCTTAACCTATACTCCAAACTCTAGATGATGTTATATATTCCAGTGACTTTTTATACTATTGCCTTGTTAATGATAATTCTCAACTTTATGAATTCAGCTGAGATCCTTAATTGTGTCCAGTTTCTTATTGGATATCTTCTTAGCTATTTCACAAAAAGGTGAACACCCCCTGATCTCCTTATATCATTCCTGACAGTTCTCATATTAGTAGATTAGTAGTGGGTAGTTTTCTACCCACACAGTTGTTGCCAGAAACTCTAGTTTGGCATTTCAGTCTCACATGCCTTCATAACCATATTCATTTCATCACTTCATCCAATCAATTCTACCTCCAAAATAAATTGCATATTTATCTACTTCTCGCACCTGCTAAGTGTCAGTACACTAGTCTAAGGTGTCATCATCTTTTTCTTAAATGATCATGGTTGTTGCCCAAGAGATCTGCTCCTACTCTTGCCCCACTTTTTTTCAGGTTAGCAATAATTGTGATCTTTTGAAAGCTTAAATTGAATGATGTTATTCCTGTGTTTGATTATTCAGTGGATTCCTCTTTTGCTTTAGAATCTAAACTACTTACAGTGGCCTCAGGCCCTGTGTGATCTAGGTTGACTACATTTCCAGCTTCTAGTGTTCCTCTCTCACCACATACTGACATGCCACTTCCTTAGGTGACTGGTCTATTTTCTGTTTCAGGACATTTATATTAATATATTCTGTTAGTCATCAGCTTAAACATGTCAGTGCTTTTGAAGCCTCTCCTTGACTTGTCAGTCTAAATCAGGCCCCTTAGATATGCTCCTATATTTCATATGCTTTTCATATGCTTTTTTCAACTTGTAATTATGTGATTAACATCCTTTCCACATATAAGAGTGTGTGCTGTCAGTCAGTTAATTCGCTCAGTTGTGTCCACTATTTGTGACCCCGTGGACTGCAGCACGCCAGAGTTCCCTGTCCGTCACCAACTCCCAGAGCTTACTCAAACTCATGTGCATCAAGTCAGTGATGCCAATCATTTCATCCTCAGTCATCCCATTCTCCTCCTGCCTTCAGTCTTTCTCAGCATCAGGGTCTTTTCCAATGAGTCAGTTCTTTGCATCAGGTGGACAGAGGATTGGAGTTTCAGCTTCAGCATCAGTCCTTCCCCTGGATATTAAAGACTGATTTCCTTTAGGATGGATTGCTTGGATCTCCTTACAGTCCAAGGGACTCTCAAGAGTCTTCTCCAATACCACCACAGTTCAAAAGTGTCAGCGTTTTTTATAGTCCAACTCTCACATCCATACATGACTACTGGAAAAACCTTAGCTTTGACTAGACGGACATTTGCCAACAAAATAACGTCTCTGCTTTTTAATATGCTGTCTAGGTTGGTCAGGGCTTTTCCTCCAAGGAGCAAGTGTCTTTTAATTTCATGGCTGCAGTCACCATCTGCCATGATTTTGGAGCCCAAGAAAAGTCTCTCAGTGTTTCCATTGTTTCCCCATCTTTTTGCCATGAAGTGATGGGATTGGATGCATGATCTTAGTTCTCTGAATGTTGAGTTTTAAGCCAACTTTTTCACTCTCCTCTTTCACTTTCATCAAGAGGCTCTTTAGCTTTTCTTCGCTTTCTGCTGTAAGGGTGGTGTCATCTGCATATCTGAGGTTATTGATATTTGTCCCAGAAATCTTGATTCCAGCTTGTGCTTAATCNTTGTTCATAGTGAGGCTTCCTAAGGCCCACTTGACTTCACATTCCAGGATGTGTAGTTCTAGGTGAGTGATCACACCATCGTGGTTATCTGGGTCATTCAGATCATTTTTGTATAGTTCTTCTGTGTATTCTTGCCACCTCTTCTTAATAGCTTCTGTTTATGTTAGGTCCATACCATTTCTGTCCTTCATTGTGCCCATCTTTGCATGAAATGTTCCCTTGGTATCTCTAATTTTCTTGGAGTGATCTCTAATTTTTCCCATTCTATTATTGTCCTCTATTTCTTTGCACTGATCACTTAGGAGAGCTTTCTTATCTCTCTTTGCTATTCTTCTAGGACTAACAACAAAAAAAAAGATGTCCTTTTCATCACAGGGGACTAGAACACAAAAGTAGGAAGTCAAGAGCTACCTGGAGGTATACGCAAGTTTGGCCTGGGAGTACAAAATGAAGCACGTCAAAGGCTAACAGAGTTTTGCCAAAAGAACACCATCATGGTTTTCTGGGTCATGAAGATATTTTTTGTATAGCTCTTCTGTGTATAAGCCACCTCTTCTTAGTATCTTCTGCTTCTGTTAGGTCCATGCCATTTCTGTCCTTTATTGTGCCCATCATTGCATGAAATGTTCCCTTGGTATCTCTAATATTCCTGAAGAGATCTCTAGTCTTTCCCATTCTATTGTTTTCTTCTATGTCTTTGCATTGATTGCTGAGGAAGCCTTTCTTATATCTCCTTGATATTCTNTTCCCCTATAATGAAAAGGAATCTTTTGTGGGTGTTAATTCTAGAAGGTCTTGTAGGTCTTCATAGAACTGTTCAACTTCAACTTCTTCAACATTACTTGTTAGGGCATAGACTTGGATTAATGTGATATTGAATGGTTTGCCTTGAAAATGAACAGAGATCATTCTGTTGTTTTTGAGATTGAATCCAAGTACTGCATTTCGGATTCGTTTGTTGACTATGATGGCTACTTGATTTCTTCTAAAAGATTCTTGCCCACAGTAATAGATATAATGGTCATCTGAGTTAAATTCACCCATTCCAGTCCATTTTAGTTTGCTGATTCCTAAAACCTTGATGTTCATTCTTGCAATTTCTTGTTTGACCACTCCCAATTTGCCTTGATTCATTGACCTAACATTCCAGGTTCCTATGCAATATTGCCCTTTACAGCATTGGACCTTGCTTCTATCACCAGTCATATCCACAGCTGGTGGTGTTTTTGTTTTGGCTTCGTCTCTTCATTCTTTCTAGATTTATTTGTCCACTGATCTCCAGTAGCATATTCAGTACCTATTGACCTGGGGAGTTCATCTTTCAGTTTCCTATCTTTTTGCCTTTTCATACTATTCATGGGTCTCAAGGCAAGAATACTGAAGTTTGCCATTCCCTTCTCCAGTGAACCACGTTTTGTCAGAACTCTCTACCATGACCCATCTGTCTTGGGTGACCCTACGCGGCATGGCTCATAGTTTCATTGAGTCAAACAAGGCTGCAGTCCATGTGATCAGATTGGTTAGTTTTCTGTGATTGTGGTGTTCAGTCTGTCTGCCCTCTGATGGAGAAGGATAAGAGGCTTATGGAAGCTTCCTGATGGGAGAGACTGACTGAGAGGGAAACTGGGTCTTGTTCTGAAGGGTTGGGCTATGCTCAGTAAATCTTTAATCCAATTTTCTGTTGATGAACGGGACTGTGTTCCCTGTTGTTTGCCCTGAGTCCAAACTATGGTGGAGGTGATGAAGATAATGGCGACCTCCTCCAAAAGGTCCCATGCAGGCACTGCTGCACTCAGTGCCCCCAGCCCTGCAGCAGGCCGCCGCTGACCCCTGCCTCCACTAGAGCCTCCTGGACACTCACGGCCAAGTCTGGGTCAGTCTCTTGCGGGGTCACTGCTCCTTTCTCATGGGTCCTGGTGTGCACAAGCTTTTGTTTGTGCCCTCCAAGACTGTGTTTCCCACTCCTCTGTAAGTTCTAGTGGGTCTACAGTGGGGTTAATGGCGACCTCCTCCAAGAAGGCTTATGCTGTATCCAGGTCTGCTGCACCCAGAGCCCCTGCACCTCCAGCAGTCTACGGCTGACCCACAACTCCGCAGGAGACACTCAAACACAGTCCTGGCTCGGTCTCTGTGGGGGCTCTGGGTCCTGGTGCACACAAAGTTTGTTTGAGCCCGCTGATGTCTCTGGTGGGTATGGGGTGTGATTCTAAATGTGATTTTGCCCCTCCTACCGTCTTGCTGTGGCTTCTCCTCTGTCCCTGGGTGTGGGGTGTCTTTTTTTGGTGGGATCCAACATTCTTCTGTTGATGTGTGTGATGTAGAGGGCAGCAATCGTGTCTGCTTCACTCATATCGCAGATGCAATTGAATTTTTGTTTCTCGAATAAGTGTATTGATCTTTATTTTCTCTAATTTGTGCCCAGCCTGTTTTAATACTATTTATTGGGCTTACTTTTCCTATTTTAGTGCCAATCAGCTGAGGCTTATATTTCATTTTAGGCTTTTTAATGTTAACTTTGCTTTTTATTTTTAGTTAAAATAATATTTTATATAGGATTTTTTTATTAAAAAGAATATTTTGTTTAGTAATTAAAAGATAAATTTTCTTGAAGTTGAAAAATTAAAGTTGCTAAATTGAAATCTAGGCCTATTAAAAATTCTTAACATTTGACTTTTTATATAGTGATTGTTATATTTATTACTATTTAACTTTTCTTTTGTATATTTGATTTCCTGTTAGCTGATGCTATTCTTAATGAGTCTTTTTGAGACTGAGTCCAAAAAATATAGATATTTTTTGACTTAAAGAGTCAAGGAGTGAATACTAAATTGTATGTGTTAGCTTTTTAATTCAGAGTTATATTTCTACTCCAGTCTTGAAGTAGTTGAAGAGTATATGTCCTATATAATTTCATCTCTGTGAAAAGGCAGGATAATGTCACCTATGGTTATGGGGACTAGTAAGGGACAAAGGTCTTCTCTTTTTAGTGCTTTTCCATCTTTAATATAAGTGAAAAAGTGAAAGTTGTTCAGTTGTGTCCAACTCTTTGCAACCCCACAGACTCCAGGCCAGGATACTGGAGTGGGTAGTGTTCCCTTCTCCAGGGAATCTTCCCAAGTCAGGGATTGAACCCAGGTCTCCCACATTTCAGGTGGATTCTTTACCAGCTGAGCTCCCAGGAAAGACCAAGAATACTAGAGCGGGTAGCCTATCCCTTTTCCCACATTGATTGAACCCAGGTCTTGATTCTGCCACCTGATTTTCCCACCTGATTGAACCCAGATCTCCCACATTGCAGGTAGATTCTCTACCAGCTGAGACTCCAGGGAAACCCAAGAATACTAGAGTGGGTAGCCTATCTCTTCTCCAAGGGATCTTCCCAACCCAAGAATAGAACCCAGGTCTCCTGCATTGCAGTCAGATTCTTTACCAGCTGAGCTACCAGGGAAGCCCTTTAATATAAGGATTCTTAATATTGTGTCATGCTATTTTAATATCTATAACCTTGATTTAAAAAAAACATCTAGGTTGATTTGCCACCTGTCAAAATATTTTCTTTTTTTGAAAGTTTCTATAATGTAAATTTTAAGAATGTCTGCTTTGAAGTGATTGAATAATTTTTTTTTTAATGTAAGCATCATTTACAGCAAAATTGCTAATTTCTTTTAGCCATCTGAAGATGAAGATCAAACTGAAGATTCAACTAGGAGATCCATCAAAACCAAAGAAACAACTAATAATTTTAATTTAGAAAGCATGAAAAAATTTCCATGTGATAAGGTTATTAATAACAATGCCAAATTTCATAAACAAAATGAGAATTTTAACCAGTTCTCAGTGAATAATAATATACATCAGTTTCCAGAGTCTCAGTGTAATTCAGCACACATATTGCAAAGCAAAACCAGTAATAACTGCATTCTACAGGTTGCAAGGTGCGATGCATGGGTACAAACGGAGAGTGAACTTATAATGGAGGAAAAATTAGATGCTGCCATACAATGTGATATAATTTCAAAATGTAAATGTAGAAGTGATGTGTCTTCTTTTTGTGATGTTGAAAGGTACAATGAAAATGTTAAAGCAGATACCACTGGAGGGCAGGAAATCCTTAAAAACAACTAATAATTCTAAATCCTTAACCTGAGATTTTGCATTTGTTTTAATATTTAGAATTTCACTAACATAATAAAGAATGAGAATATTTTTGTAGCTAAGCAACTAGATGAAAGTATTCAGAAAATGTATTTGTTTTTTAGTATTACTAATTTATGCTTTAATTTCCCATAGGTGTTTTTAATAGCTTTAGTATGTCTTAAAAGTTTTTAGAAAATAATATATATGTAAATTTACTATTATTCTTATGCTGATTATTTATTATATTATGAAATGCTGCCGTTTATGGATTTAAAATGTTTAACTATTACTTCTGTGAAATGAAAATATCTCTTGCCATGTTAATAAACAAGAAATGTCACAGTCGTCAGCATTTTCTGGCCTCCAAATGTGAATGAAGGCTCCCCAAACTGGGATCCAGTGTATGCTGCCACTCCCCGTGGTGACTACCGAGGAGCTACACAATGCAAGAAACAAAATGAACAAAGCAACAGGATTGGCCCCAGGTAGCTGAGGTGCATATGAAAGGAATGAATTCAGTGATTCCAGAGACTTGCATCTTCCCATACATAGAATGCTAAATTCCTTAACTTGATACTGACCTTTGATGTTCAGCCTGCCTGCTCCCTTTGTTGCACTGACTTCCTCTCTTGCCCTTTTGGGAGCAGTTTTCTCAGAGCTACTGAGACGCTTGCTGTCTCCCGGGCTCAGAGTCCTAAACATTCCCACCAAATAAAATATCAGTCTACTTTCAGGCTGTGGCTGTACTTTTTAGTTGACAATGCTTTGTTACATTTATTTTAAAATTTAGTTCAGTTGTACCTTTTGCAAAAATATTCTCTTCCAAGAATTTAAGACAGAAAATAATACTAAATAATATTAAATAAGTTTTATAGCCTAATTATAAGATTTCCTTAGCTACTTATCTTAAACACTATACTGTTGTTAAAAATTCTGGCATTAATTTTTAGATAAAATATTTTTCTAATTTGGAGAAAAATTTTTTGTTAGTGCTTATATTAATTCAAAGGAATGTTTTTTCTCTTCAAGAGTAAAAAAAAAAAATGTTTCAACGTTTTTGTAAAAGAATTATTCAACATTGGAAAATTATTTATGTTTACTAATTTTAATATTACTTAAGATTTTCATAAATACTACATTAGAATCTCTCATTTGTAAAGTATCAGCTTTATTTCCAACATAACACTTATTTTTGTTGTCAAGGTTTTAAATGTTGACACTAGTCACTTTAGAAAATGGACATCTGTATGTTACAAAGTGACCAACAAGGGGCATTCTGATATCTAGCAAAAATAGGGATTTCTGTTAAAGTGATTAGATAATGCATTTTTACCTGTATACATATACATATCACTCCACAGTTTTGCAGAGATGATCTGAAACAAAACAATTTAGAAACACTAAACTAATATTTAAACAGTAGCAGTCTTCAGGGCTTTAGCTAGTTTTAGGAAGTTCTCTTTGTGGCCTCAAAGAACACAATGAACTCCTAAGTAATTTTAAGGATAGTAATCCTCTCATGAAAGGGGAATATAATTATCTGATCTACATTGACAGTTTTCAAACGGCCAGATTTTCAAAAGGCCAGGATATTGAGTATCCTGATACTCAATTAAAGGTATTTCATAGTGGATTGATTATCCTGAGGATTATTTTGCAAAATATGATATACTGTAGTAAGGAAGAGCTATATGTGGAAAAGAAGACTATACTGGTGACATTAGGGTAAGATTGAACTTTGAATCAGATTGGTTTCAAATATCAAATAAATTGATTTTTTCCAATACAAATGAAAGTCTACCAGTTATTAAAAGCACATTCATTACAAAAGTCCATGCTTAGTTGCGTTTTTATCAATACCATAATGTAGCAGTTAAGCTTAGTGAAGTAAAGAAGAATATAGGGTAATGACTACACACAGTAAAAGGGAAGTAAGATGCCATAGAGTAAAGGATTTAAACTTGCCTCATAAGAGATCTGGGTTTTTTGCCTTTGGCTTTATAAGGTTTTCTCTAAGCTCATGGAATGTTATGCCTGATAGTAGTATCTTTGTTTGCCTGGGGACCTTGAGCCAAGCCAGATTGTGTGATTTAAGATCACACTGAAGTCAGCCATGTGGGCAATCAATCACGCCACTGTGATGGAACCAAAGAAAGACTCTGGACACCAAGGCTCATGTGAGCACCTGCAGTTGGCAGTACTTTGTGTTGTCACATATTGGTATCAGGAAATTAACACTCCCCGTGACTTGTAGAAGACTGGAAGCTCTGTATTACTTTCTTAGACTCTGTCCTATGTGCTTTTTACCTGGGCTGATTTTAATATCGCTTTTCCCTATAATAAACTGTAACTGTGAATATACCAGCTTTCAGTGAGTTCTGAGTCCTACCAGCAAACTATCAAATATGAGGGTGCTCTTGGAACCCCTGAAGTTTTATGGTCTGTTCCCTAACATTGCAACAAAGTTACTAACTCTTTAAGGAGATAAATATATTTGGATAAGAAAGTAAGTACAGATTTATGTAATAAAAAGGACATATATAACTACTTCTCAAAAGACAATTCTAGTTTAGATTTTCTCTTGGTGAAATAATTTAATGAAAAAAATAGATGATGTTTATACATTCTGAAGTTGTAGAAACACTGTTCTTCCAGAGCTCCTCAGAAGTATTAAGCTTTAGTTGCTTTCAATTGTAACTTACTTGATATTAATAGTAAGCTCTTTATGAGCATGCTTCCTTTCCTTTCTCACTTCTTCAATTCCATAACAGTGTTTTTGAGATCACACCCCAAACATATTACATGCACTTAAATTCTTGGCTTGTGCTTTGCTTCTGAGGTAATCCATGAAAAAGAAAAGTGAAAGTTGCTAAGTCACGTCCAACTTTTGCAACCCCATGGACTGACTGTAGCCTGCCAGGCTCCTCTGTTAATGGAATTCTCCATGTCAGAATACTGGAGTGAGTAGCTGTTCCCTTCTCCAGGGGATCTTCCCAACCCAGGGATCAAACCCAGATCCTCTGCTTTGCTGGAGGATTCTTTACTGCACGAGCCAGCAGGGAAGAGGAGTTATATACTGAGAAGTTATATAAAGGGACATGACAAATGACTAAATGAATTGTCTTTATTGGTGTCACTCAAATGTTAACGTTGCTAGCTTTCTGGTTTTACAGTTCTCTTGTACTAGTTCTTAATTTCTACCACCTGCTGAAAACTCAATAAATGGGACTAGGAGCATATAGACAAGTGAAGAGAGAATTAGTGAAACAAAATACTCATTAATAATAATGTTATCCAAATGCAGAAGAGAAAGAAAACATGTAAGAAAGTTAAACAATAACAAGGATATAATGAGACACTCCAACATATGTTTAATTGAAATATCAGTAGTAGAGGAGAGAAATGGGATAGAGGCACAATTTGAAGAGATAATGACTCAGAATTTTTCAGAATTCATTAATGATACTAATCCACAAATTTAAGAAGGCCAATGATTTCCAAGTAGTATAAATAATATGAAACCCATGTCTAGACTCAGCATAGTGAAATGGTGAAGTCTCAAAGACACAGAAGATCTTGAAAGCAATTGGGGAGAAAAAGACTGGCTTCCTAGAAGGAAGACAATACTGTTATTTTATTTTATTGCTGCAAAAAGCTTTATTGTTTCCATTTGGTCCAAGGCTTGAGAGAGGCCTCCAAGATGTTAAAAAGCTGCCTAGTAGCTGCAGAGAGGGGCTTCAGGCAGCCCTGATGTCAGGTGGGTTCCTCAAAGGCCACTGGTCTCCAGAAGCTCCTAGTCGTGCTTGAGGGTGAGCCTCTCGAAGAGATACTCGACCAACCCAGCGTGGGGACCAGCCAGCCTGCGGAGGTTGGTCAGGTGGTCACCCATCTTCTTGATGAGTTTCACTTCCTCATCTAGGAAGTGGTTCTCCAGGAAATAACAGACGTGGGGGTCTCCGCAGGCAGAAGCCAGGCCATGCAGATCCAACAGGGCTTGATTCAGGTTCTTCTCTACGAGAAGGACGGCTTCCATAGCGTCCTGGGTTTTACCCCACTCATCTTGAGATGGCTTCTGCACGTCCAGGAAGAGGGCGCGGCCGCCATGCTGGTTTTGCAGTTTCAAGAGCCGCTCCGTGCCCTCACACTTCTCCTTGGCCAATTCGCGAAAAAAGTGACCCACACTCTCCAGAGCCACATTGTCGCGGTCGAAATAGAAGCCCAGAGAGAGGTAGGTGTAGGAGGCCCGCAGTTGCATGTTAACCAGGCGGTTGACAGCAGCCTCCACCTCGGTAGAATAATTCTGACGAATCTGGGAGCTCATGATTGGTCGGTAATAAGGAGTTAAAAAATGGTGGCTGGTCTCGGTGATCGCGGACAGCTGAGTGGCTGACTCCGGAGGTTGCGACTGGAAAAAAGGTTGGAGGGTGGTCGGAGGCTGGAGCAAGGGGCGTCCCTGGGTCTGTTCCGTCTAAGCACTGTTGAAGCAAGACACAGATCCGCGGGGCCGCTGAGCGCACTTCAATACTGTTATCTTAAAAAGCAATAATGAATGCCAAAAGACAATGTAAAAATACCATCCAAATCCTGATAGGAAAATAATAGTCACTCTAGAATTGTGTTTCTAGCCCTACAGAACTGGCATTATTTGATACCAGGGCTCAGTGGTAAAAAATTTGACTGAAATACAAGAGACATGGGTTGAATCCCTTGTCAGGAAGACCCCCTGGAGAAGGAAATGGCAACCCCACTCCAATATTCTTGCCTGGGAAATCCCATGGACAGAGTCCATTGGGTCACAAAAGAGTTTGACACATCATAGTGACAAAACAACAACAAAGTAGCCAATACTAGCATGAAGGACCCAAACTTACAGGCTATGGCAATTTTTATTTAAGCTTTTTGAATATACAGAGTAGTGCTTTCTCTTAGTGGAGAAAGTTTCTGATTTTTTCACTGTTTGGTCTTTAACATCTATGCTCAGTTTTCCCACTGCTTCTGTTTTTTTTGGCCCTCTTTTTATTAACTTTGCAGCACTTGAAGTTGTCCCAGTGAAGGACTTTATTTTTTTTCCATGCTGTCTCTGATGGTCTGTGATGTATATTCCCTTATGCTTGTTGCTAAGGAGATATCACATTCTCTCATTTCTTTAAAATTACTTTATTAGTAGTATTAAAATACTCTTTAATATAAATTTAACTTATATGCAGAATATATCATGTGAAAAGCCTGCCGGACTATTTGAAGCACAGTTGGAATCTAAATTGCTGGGAGAGATGATGATAACCTCAGATGTGCAGATCACACCACCCTTATGGCAGAAAGTGAAGAAGAACTAAAGAGCTTCTTGATGAAGGTGAAAGAAGAGAGTGAAAAAGCTGACTTAAAACTTAACATTCAAAAAACTAAGTTCATAGAATCCATTTCCATCACTTCATGCCAAAAAGATGGGAAAAAATGGAAACAGTGACAGACTTCATTTTTTCAAAATCACTGCAGTGACTGCAGCCATGAAATTAAAAGATGCTTGCTCCTTGGAAGAAAAGCTATGACCATCCTAGACAGCATATTAAAAAGCAGAGACATCACTTTGCCAACAAAGGTCCACATAGTCAAAGCTGTGGTTTTTCCAATAGTCATATATGGATGTGAAAGTTGAACCATAAAGAAGGCTGAGTGCCAAAGAATTGATGCTTTTGAACTGGTGTTGGAGAAGACTCTTGAGAGTTCCTTGAACTGTGTGGAGATCAAACCAGTCAGTCCTAAAGGAAATCAATCCTGAGTATTCATTGGAAGGACTGATGCTGAAGCTCCAATACTTTGGCACCTGATGGCAAAAGCTGACTCATTAGAAAAGACCCTGATGCTGGCAAAGATTGAAGGCAGGAGGAGAAGGGGACTAAAGAGTTTGAGATGGTTGGATGGCATCACCGACTCAATGGATATGAGTTTAAGCAAGCTCCGGGAGATTGTGAAAGACAGGAAAGCCTGGCATGCTGCAGTCCTTGGGGTCGCAAAGAGTCAGACGTGACTGAGCGACTGAACAACAGCTTTGACATGTACGGCTTGACCTTTTTGAATCAAGATACTTAGATAGGTTTTGAATGTTGATATCTACATATCTATTTATATAGATATCCACAAATGTGACAACTTAAAATATAATACAGTGAATTGAGGCAACTGCTGGGTTTTTGACGGATGTATGTTCATTTTGTGTATACATATGTGACTCAAGTCAAATGGGTACAGTTTTTTGCATTCACCTAGTGTTTCTTGTGGATGCAATTGAACATCAGTCAGTTAGAAAGTCACATGATGCTCCCCTGGATCTGGGTCTTGGGCCCACCTGCCAATAGGCCAGCACAACCTTCAGGACCTCCTGGACCCTGGCCTGCCTACCAGCAAATTGACACCAGCTCCAAGACATATTGGACCACTCAAAATCCATACCAGGATCCAGGCCCACTTACAAGTGGACTGACACCAACTTTAGGATTCCCTGGACTTTGAAGTAAGCCATGTCAGGAACCAGTCCTGCCTACTAGCAGATACTAGATTCAGGAACCCCAGACTCACAACCACCTACCCCCAGAGCCTAGCTTCCTAACTACCCACCCATCTACCATTAGCCCAATGCTTGCCCTGGGACCCCCTTAGGCTCCAGAGCCAGTCACCTCATGACCTGGCTCCACTCACCAGTGGCAAGCAGACTCCGCACAAGGTAGATTCTGGCCACCATATAGACTGGGAGCCAGCCACAAGTGCTAGATGGTTCGCAGTAGTCAGCCCACAACAATAGGACACATACAGCCCACATAAGGGACACCCCTAGAGCATATAGCTCTGGATACCAGATGGGAGAGCACTGCTGGGAAGCATAGGATATCTCCTACAAAATGTCACTTCTCCAAGATTGGCAAATGTAACCAACCTACTAAATATATTGGGGGAAAAAAAAAAAGCAAATAAGATGACAGAGGAATTAGTCCCCTGCCTCCCCCAAAAAAGTAACAAGATAAAACCCCAGAGGAGAAACTAAGTATAGTGGAGATAAGCAATCTACCCAATAAACAGTTCAAAGTAATGACTGTAAAGATGTGCCAAAACTCAAGAGAATATTGGAAGAATAGTTGTAAGTCTTCAACAAAGAGAAAATGCAGAGAAGAGCCAGAGATGAAGAAAACAATAACTGCAATTTTAAAATACACTAGAAGGAATCAATATTTGATTGGATGATACAGAGAAGCATCAGTGAGCTGGAAGACAGAATAGTGGAAATGACTGAAGCTGACCCAAAAAAAGAATGAATAAAAAGAAATGAGGATTATTTACTGTCATTCACATTATACGGGAAGGGTCCCAGAAGAAGGCACAAAGTAGGGGCAGAGAACATATTTGAAGACATAAAAGATGGAAATGTCTCTAAGATGGAAGAGGAAGCAAACATCCAGATTAAGGGAAAACCATGTCCCAAGAAAGATCAACCAAAAGAGTAACAGACCAAGACACATTGTAGTTAAAATGTCAAAAATTAAAGAGGGATTGGGACTTCCCTGGTGGTCCAAAGGTTGAGAGTCTGCTTTACAGTTCAGAGGATATGGGTTTGATCCCTGACTGGGGAGCTAGGATCCCATATGCCACAGGGCAACTAAACCCACCCACATGCCACAAATAGCACCACAATGAAAGACCCCACATGATGCAATGAAGATCCAGAGTGCCACAACTGGGACTTGACTCAGCCAAATAAATATTACAAAAAAGAGAGAGAACTAAAAAGCAGCAGGGAGAAGCAATAAGTTGCATGAAAGGAAATTCCCATAAGGTTATCTGTTGACTTTTAAGCAGAAGTTATGCAGGTGAGAAGGGAATGGCACTAGATACTTAATGACATGAAAGGCAGAAAGCTACAACCAAGCTACAGCACGCATCCACCAAGGCTTTCATTCAGATTTCTTCAAACTCATTGTCCACCAAAATGAGTTTTATGGACAAGCACAAACTAAAAGAGTTCAGCACCACCAAACCAGTTTTACAACAAATGTTAAAGGGACTTCTCTAAGAGAAAAAGAAAAAGCCATAGCTTCTGGTTCGAGATGACAGAATAGAACAATGTGCACTCATCTCCTCCTGCAAGAGCACTAAAATCTCAACTAGCTGTTGAACAGCCATTAACAGGAGGACACTAGAACCCACCCACCCCCACCCAAAAAAAAAAAAAAAATCCTATGTCCAAAGACAAAGAAGAAGCCACAGTGAGATGGTAGGGGCTGCAATCATGATAAAATAAAATTGCGTACCCACCAGGTGGGCAACCCACAAACTGTAGAAAAATAATACCAAAGAAGTTCTCCAACTGCTGTGAAGGTTCTGAACCCCAAGTCAGGCTTCCTAGCCTGGGGATCCAACAAAGGGACTGGGAATCCCCAGAGAATCTGACCATGAAGTCCAGTGGATTTTATTATAGCACTTCCGCATGAGTAGGGGAAACATAGACTCCAGTCTTAGAGGGCACAAACAAAATCTTTGCACACCAACACCCAGAGGAAAGGAGCAGTAACTCCACAGGGGACTGAACCGAAACTACCTGCTAGTGTTGGAGGGTCTCTTGTGTGGGTTCACCACATGGATAAGCGCCCTGGCAGCATCTGGGAAGGTACCTTTTGGCCCTCTTAGAGGTTGCCACTAACTGTGCCAGAGACACTGTAGACCCCAGGGCTGGGCTGCCTCAGCCCAAACAACTACCAGGGAGGGAGCCCAACCCCTCCCATCAGCCGAGAATTGGATTAAAGCTTTACTGAGCAAGACCTTGCCCACCAGAGCAAGAACCAGTTTTTCCCACTGCCAGTCCCTCCCATCAGGAAGCTTGCCTCTTAGCCTCATTCATCAGAGAGCAGACAGAAGAAGCAAGAAGACCAACAGTCCCACAGCAGCTAAAACAAAAACCACATTACAGAAAGTTAATAAGGATGAAAGTGCAGAAAGTTATGTCTCAGATGAAGGTACAAGAGAAAACCTAAGAAAAATAACTAAATGAAGTGGAGATAGGCAACTTTCCAGAAAAAAAGAATTCAGAATAATGATAGTGAAGATAATCTAGGATCTCAGAAAAGCATTGGAGAAGATACAAGAAATACTTAATAAAGACCTCGAAGAAAAAAGAACAAACAAAGATGAATAATACACTGTGCTGAGTTGCGCTCAGCTGCTCTGTCATGTCAGACTCTTTGTGACCCCATGGACTGTAGCCAGGCAGGCTCTTCTGTTCCTGGGGTTCTCCAGGCAAAATGCTGGAGTGGGTTGCCATGTCCTCTTCCAGGAGATCTTATCTTCCCAACCCAGGGATTGAACCCAGGGTTCATTGCAGGCAGATTCTTTACCATCTGCGCCACCAAGGAAGCCCAAGAATACTGGAGTGTGTCCGATCCCTTCTCCAGGGGATCTGCCCAACCCAGGAATTGAACCAGGGTCTCTGCATTGGAGGTAGATTCTTTATTAGCTGAGCCACCAGGTCAGC